CTGTCGGACAGGAGGCAACGACTGAGCATGACACGGAGTCACTTGAATCTTACGAGGAATGTGAAGTTTCAGAAGAAGATAAGTCTGTAATGGACTCTCAGGAGGTAGAGTCAGCGACAGAAACTGACAGCGATCAAAGTGGTTCCGAGAGTGATGCAAGCTCGATTGTGTCTTCCAGCCCGGCCCCTTCTGATAAAAGTGAAGAGTACGGCTACGACAGTGGTGACGAGGAAGAGTGGACGCTCTATCGCGACTGGACCATTCCACTAACTCACGATCCAGGCGATGTCCCTCAACGCGTGATCAAGGAGACAAAACGCGCTGGAAAAAAGTTTTATCTTGTAGAATTTGCTGCCTTGCCTCCACCTTACAGTTATGAGATAATACACAGCAAGAACTGGGTCTCAGAGCAGACATTGATGAAAAAATACGGCTTTCTTGTTCTGAAGTAATACAACATTGTCCTTCCATCGACAGTAACACTTTCCATAATAGCTAATGTACCATTGATACACATGTACCATTTCGTCAATAGAGAGATATTGCAAAGAGTGATTCACGACATTAAAATGTACGTAATGAGTGACTCACGACATTAATATGTACGTAATGAGTGACTCACGACATTAATATGTACGTAATGAGTGACTCGCGACATTAATATGTACGTAATGAGTGACTCACGATATCAATATGTACGTAATGAGTGACTCACGACTTCATTCAATATGGACGCAATGACTGACTCACGATATCGATATGTACGCAATGAGTGATTCACGACATTAATATGTACACAATGAGTGATTCACGATATCGTTATGCACGTAATGAGTGACTCATCGTGTCATTATGACAAAGCGTTATAGTCATGAAGCGAATAAATACAATATTACGTCACATGAATAATGTTTCTTGTTTTTGATCAGTATGTGTGGTTGTGTGGACTGTCAGACGTAAGAACGATAGTATAAATATGGGTGTCGCACTACGTAAGAGTCATTCGCGAAGATGAATATTCAGTTAAAGTTGCCATGTCGCCTCGTCTGTAGCTGATGCTCTGGGTCAGGGAAGTCGTACTTTGTACAGAAACTGTTAACGTCGGGAGCTGAATGGCTGGATCCGGGACCGTTCGAACACGTGGTGTGGTGTTATTCAGAATACCAGGAAAATCGTCACAGCGAACTCAGCTCTAAATTGGGACCAAAGATTCAGTTTCAAGAAGGTCTTCCTGAAAACTGGAATGACGTTACGAAGCCGGGATGTCGTAACGCTGTCGTAATTGATGATCAAATGGAAGACGTAGTGAAGGGAGACAAGGTCATAAAATTATTCACTCGGGCCAGCCGTCACAGAGGCATATCGGTTTTCTTGTTAGTGCAAAACCTCTTCTACCAGGGGCTCAGAACGATCAGTCTTAACTCTAGTTATATCGCCCTGTTTAAGTCTCCCAGAGATCAGAGTATGGTTACTACACTGGCCAAGCAGATGTTCCCCGGACATAGCAAATTCCTACAAGAATATTACGAGGACGCCGTCAATAAGAAGACTCACGGTCATTTGTTACTTGACCTGCATCCGGAATCACCTAATGAGTTGCGCGTGAGAAGTGGTATGCTCACCCCTCAACCCTACGTGTACCTGAGGAAATAATAAAACGCCGTGTCGACCACTCTGAGCTGTCACAACGAGTCGAGATGTCACATAGACTACATCGTCACACAGACTGTCTTCGCGTCTTGAGCAAAGCCAACCCCAAATTGCGGAAAGCTATTCTGTCGACAGCCCCAAACGATCTTCTAAAGTCGATTTGCGACTGTTCACACAACGTCCTGAAAGGAAACATCCGTCTCACACCAGGACAAAAGAAAGGACTGTCCCGACACAAGAACACTCTTCGCCAGCTCGGCGACAAGAAGATTCCACTGTCCAAGAAAAGGCAGACGTTGGTTCAAAAGAGCGGGTTCCTGTCCCTGCTGCTCAGTCCGATCATTTCGGCCATCACGTCTCTGTTTGGTGGGAGGAAATAACGGAAATCTGCGTCATGGAGTACGGCAGAAAGATGGCCCTTGTTCCTCAAGAATTGCTTTCCACGATCCAAGCCAAACAACAGGAAGAGATGACCCCACTGGTTAAATCTGCTTTAAGTATGGACGACCAAATGCGAGACGTAATGTCGCGTCAAGATTTAGCCGATGACGAGAAAGCAACCCTGTACCAACAGCTTCTCCAGCGTTATCTCACGTACAGAGACAAACGACGAGCCGAGCCAGTCAGCGTCAGGTTGGTAACGTCGAACTCCACCCCTGCTGCCACCGTCACCGCTACGAACAATGTCGCTAAAGATGAAGGGTCCACCACCACCTCTCCCAGCACCGCCTCGGCTACCGGTAAAGAAGACAAGGCCATATTGGCGGCTTTCCCCAAAAACATGAAAGCGCGCGCCCAACAGTTTCTTAATCACAGCCAGTCGGGTTGGGTGTCTTATGGCGGCCTCTGGCGTGTTTATGCGTGCCAGCCCTCTGCTGAAGGCTCGCCATCCAATGGGGTTGAAATTCTGTCTCCGTTGAATCACATCTCTTAAGAGATCCGATATCTGGGATCCGGGAACTACTTGCGTATCGTAGAGAAGCTCTCCGTGTTGGTTGTAATCGAGAATGTCCCCTCCCTTGTGTTTGATGATGTTGAGCAACTGTTGGGCGCGCGCTTTCATGTTTTTTGGGAAAGCCGCCAATATGGCATTGTCTTCTTTACCGGTAGCCGAGGCGTTGCTGGGAGAGGTGGTGGTGGACCCTTGGAATCTTCTTGTCGCCGAGCTGGCGAAGAGTGTTCTTGTGTCGGGACAGTCCTTTCTTTTGTCCTGGTGTGAGACGGATGTTTCCTTTCAGGACGTTGTGTGAACAGTCGCAAATCGACTTTTGAAGATCGTTTGGGGCTGTCGACAGAATAGCTTTCCGCAATTTGGGGTTGGCTTTGCTCAAGAGGCGAAGACAGTCTGTGTGACGATGTAGTCTATGTGACATCTAGACTCGTTGTGACAGCTGGGAGTGGTCGACACGGCGTTTTATTATTTCCTCAGGTACACGTAGGGTTGAGGGGTGAGCATACCACTTTTCACGCGCAACTCATTAGGTGATTCCGGATGCAGGTCAAGGAACAAAAGACCGTGAGTCTTCTTATTGACGGCGTCCTCGTAACATTCTTGTAGGAATTTGCTATGTCCGGGGAACATCTGCTTGGCCAGTGTAGTAACCATACTCTGATCTCTGGGAGACTTAAACAGGGCGATATAACTAGAGTTAAGACTGATCGTTCTGAGCCCCTGGTAGAATAGATTTTGCACTAACAAGAAAACCGATATGCCTCTGTGACGGCTGGCCCAAGTGAATAATTTTATGACCTTGTCTCCCTTCACTACGTCTTCCATTTGATCATCAATTACGACAGCGTTACGACATCCCGGCTTCGTAACGTCATTCCAGTTTTCAGGAAGACCTTCTTGAAACTGAATCTTTGGTCCCAATTTAGAGCTGAGTTCGCTGTGACGATTTTCCTGGTATTCTGAATAACACCACACCACGTGTTCGAACGGTCCCGGATCCAGCCATTCAGCTCCCGACGTTAACAGTTTCTGTACAAAGTACGACTTCCCTGACCCAGAGCATCAGCTACAGACGAGGCGACATGGCAACTTTAACTGAATATTCATCTTCGCGAATGACTCTTACGTAGTGCGACACCCATATTTATACTATCTTTCTTACGTCTGGCAGTCCACACAACCACACATACTGATCAAAAACAAGAAACAATTATTCATGTGACGTAATATTGTATTATTCGCTTCATGACTATAACGCTTTGTCATAATGACACGATGAGTCACTCATTACGTGCATAACGATATCGTGAATCACTCATTGTGTACATATTAATGTCGTGAATCACTCATTGCGTACATATCGATATCGTGAGTCAGTCATTGCGTCCATATTGAAGTCGTGAGTCACTCATTACGTACATATTGATATCGTGAGTCACTCATTACGTACATATTAATGTCGCGAGTCACTCATTACGTACATATTAATGTCGTGAGTCACTCATTACGTACATATTAATGTCGTGAGTCACTCATTACGTACATTTTAATGTCGTGAATCACTCTTTGCAATATCTCTCTATTGACGAAATGGTACATGTGTATCAATGGTACATTAGCTATTATGGAAAGTGTTACTGTCGATGGAAGGACAATGTTGTATTACTTCAGAACAAGAAAGCCGTATTTTTTCATCAATGTCTGCTCTGAGACCCAGTTCTTGCTGTGTATTATCTCATAACTGTAAGGTGGAGGCAAGGCAGCAAATTCTACAAGATAAAACTTTTTTCCAGCGCGTTTTGTCTCCTTGATCACGCGTTGAGGGACATCGCCTGGATCGTGAGTTAGTGGAATGGTCCAGTCGCGATAGAGCGTCCACTCTTCCTCGTCACCACTGTCGTAGCCGTACTCTTCACTTTTATCAGAAGGGGCCGGGCTGGAAGACACAATCGAGCTTGCATCACTCTCGGAACCACTTTGATCGCTGTCAGTTTCTGTCGCTGACTCTACCTCCTGAGAGTCCATTACAGACTTATCTTCTTCTGAAACTTCACATTCCTCGTAAGATTCAAGTGACTCCGTGTCATGCTCAGTCGTTGCCTCCTGTCCGACAGGTCGTCAGTGTCGTCAAATATGTCAGCGATCGGTAAGAACCCGGCTCGGTGTCCATGCTCTCTTCTCCCGAAGAAATTTCTGCCACGTCTCCGTGTATCGTATCGCGATGACGTGCGAGGTTTGCTTTTCGACTGAACTCTCTGCCACAGACGTCACACTCGTGCGGCATGGTTGGTGATCTTCACAAGAATGACGTTGCACGTTCAGTGACAGCCTTATGTGATACCTCAGAGCCTCAAAAACAAAATGTACATGTATACAGATCACACCAAGGTCATATGTTTTAAGCCATTTTTCTGAAGGTCATATTTATTCTTGCTCCTGTTGCCTTTCTCCGGACAGGTAGCGAGTGAAACCAGAATCGGTTGGTTGGATAGTTCATCATTAAGAGGCTACCATGTTCTAATTCTATTTTAATCGGCTCTACCACACGTTTCTTGTACTTCCCGCGTGCATCACAGTGCTTGAAAATAAAGTCTCGTTTTTGTCCGAGAGACAGTGAAGCGATTGAAGCATTTTGTACTAGCCCTTCTTCGTCATCTCTGTGTTCTCCGATGTAATCTAAACCATCTTTGTATCTGTGAAACCAACAGAAATAACGTTACCAACATAAATCCCTACACCATTACACAACTGATCTAACACGTCAACAAGGTCACAGACAGATCAATTACAAGTGCCTTACCTGTTGATAAGGACAAAGTTGAACTCTTGCCCGGTTACTTCTTGTATTCTGTCTTTGATCGTCCTTAACAGCGGTGACCAAGGCCTTGCCGGGATTTCTACCACGGAAAATCTGTACGATAACCCAGGGTCACCAAAAGCAACTTGTTTCCTTGGGATGTCACGATACTTTCCAAAGATCTACAAAAAAGAAGGTTATACATCGTACGTTCAGCGCTGATAGGTATTGGTGTATGATTGTAAAACGATGTTGACAAAATAGACAAGAGTTACACAGAATCATTGAAGAGATTCTGACCTGAACTCGAGCCAAGTCCCCAGTGTTGTACACAAACTCCTCTTCGCACGCTTGAAACAGGGTCGAAGCAACACTTGGACGGTACAATACCGTGTAATCACAGTTGAAATTTTCTCCTCGTAACTTCTGCTATTGAAGAGGTACAGGGTCGGTAGAACAGCTTGTGATGTCCCCCTCGTGTATAGATCGGCTCAGCCAATTCCTGATATCTGTAGAAGCCATCGCTAATCGAAAAGGTGTCGAAGCGTGGACAGGTCGCAATCTAAGACCGTCACAGTTTGCCTGGCTTTATACAAAATCCTCTTACCTCTTAACCAATCAGCAAACAATAACACTGACACAGCAAGACATACACAACCTACCCTTAATAGATAATACCGGCCGACACGCCCTCCCGGGACGCGTGAGAAAGGTTTGAAGTGACCGCGCTGAATTCAACAGGTCTCGGCTTAATCAAAAGAACAATAGGATCAACCCATGCCCAGCACGACCTCCTGGGGATACAATCTTTATGTAACGATGCCGCCCGACACGACCTCCCGCGGCGTCTGGTATGGCGCATTGACCTTCACGTGACCTCTACACCTCCTAGTGACCACACCTAGTCTTCGCCGCTGCGCTCCGCCACATAACAGGTGGAGGAGCGCCGCAAATAATACCTATCCTGTCCATAACATACTACTTTGTCATTTGTACACAGTCATTTAGCATAATATCGTTGCCATTTTCAATGTAAGTAGATTTGCAAATGGAAACATTTTAATTTGTTAGGTGTATTTTGCTACTAACCCTCAGCCAGTATGCAGGTCAGTTACAACCTACGCAACAACAATAACAACAACAACAACAACAAAACCAAACGAAGTTTTCTTTTGTGTTGATCGGCCGGCTTTGACGTACCTCAAGAATCTGAATGTACGTTCTAACTACATGTAAGGGTGGTCTGCGGTAGAATGGCCTCGGGATCTTGTTGACCCTGGAGCCGACGAGCTAGCCTGTATACTAGGGTAGTTCTGCCTCTCCCAACTAATTGACCAATTACGCTCAACTCACACCACGTCACATGCAACCAATCATAACCAATGATTCTCTGTAGCTAACTGTCTAATTACGGTGTATTGACGCAGAGTGGCACAATAATAGCTGGGCAACCATTAATCTCAGACCTGTCAAAGTTAACATTCAGCGCTCTTCGATCTTGAGGGTGTTGCAGAGAGACATCGCGTCGAATGCGTGTGAATGACGTGTTTAGATCGCACGCTTGAATGCTTTCAATTAACACTTTCAAACCGCCGTTCTTAACATGAACAGTAGGAAAGAAATTTGGACAACCAGAAAAACTGATCTAATCACAGTTTATAACATGAACTACGCCATTTTATCATTTCTGCCTTGTGTCACACATAGTGAGCCTACTGGTGTATGTCTGAAAGTTTTTCTGGTAAACGTACAGCTTACACCCTGTGGAAAAATGGTTTAAGCCACTATTAATAGAAAGTAGCTCACGTGATTACATTTGACAAATCAGAACTGTCGANTTCTTAACATGAACAGTAGGAAAGAAATTTGGACAACCAGAAAAACTGATCTAATCACAGTTTATAACATGAACTACGCCATTTTATCATTTCTGCCTTGTGTCACACATAGTGAGCCTACTGGTGTATGTCTGAAAGTTTTTCTGGTAAACGTACAGCTTACACCCTGTGGAAAAATGGTTTAAGCCACTATTAATAGAAAGTAGCTCACGTGATTACATTTGACAAATCAGAACTGTCGATTGCGTTGACCTTTACTCCAAACTAATGTATATATATATCTTAAAACCAGTTTTCTAATAATAGCACGGTATATATACCCGAGCGCCAACTTTTTTTTCTATAACGTTGGAGAGTAGAGAGAGAGCTGACATAAACCGACTTCGTTTCGCCGACAGCACTTAACGTCCATGTGAGTACCTGACCTTATCAATTGTTTCTATTCCACTGCAAAAAAATCCCATTGCGTAAAATATCACAACTTTCAACTACCACCGGAAATGCTGAAAACGCTATTTTTGGTCAGATTTTGACATTTTTGGGGGTGGCCGATCAATAATTCCTACTGTGTGTACTTATTTAAAAGCCTGTTGATTCTTGCCAAGTCTGCATTATGCTTCGGTATGGAGTTGTACCGCAGCTAGGGCCATTCCAGTCGTGTTTAAAAGGTATTGTAGGAATTTTTTTCGTTTTGTCGCTGTGTTCGTTCTGTGCCCGAAAACCGTGTGTCTGCCCCGCCCAAGGTCCTGGCCTGTCAAATCCCCATTTACAGATTTCTCGTCAATTTTACGATTGAAACCTCTCTAAGGATAATCGATTGCTACTCGAAGCCTTTAATTTTAGAAATGATCTATAGAACCATGCTCATTTTCTTCTGTAATGTTTGATAAAAAAAGGTTTGGTTTAAAAAGAAAGGGTAATTACATGTAAGTGATTTTGACGTGGCATGGTCTACGCCCAACCAAAGCACTGGTTAAAACGTCATGTTGCAAACTTTTACGTTCATTGTCTATAAAGCATCATAGCCTACGTGATTTTAACGTTTGACAATATTAAAGCTAAAATATCTAATAGATATCTAATAAAGTATCTAATAGATAGCTCGTTTTTTTTTCTCTGTAAAACCGCGTGCTCGTCGCAGTAGGCGAGACTGGTGTGTTTTGTTGGGTAGCATGTCCTGTTTATTTGTTTAAATGCCCTTTTTTTTACTTTCTTCATAACGTTGTGTCACTGACATATTGTTTCTCGGGACGTCTCAGAGTGGCGAGAGTGGTGTGTTTTGCTGGGTAGCATGTCCTGCTTATTTGTTTAAAAGTCTTTTTTTTACTTTCTTCATAACGTTGTATCACTGACATATCGTTTCTTGGGACGTCTCAGAGTGGCGAGACTGGTGTGTTTTGCTGGGTAGCATGTCCTGCTTATTTGTTTAAAAGTCTTTTTTTTACTTTCTTCATAACGTTGTATCACTGACATATCGTTTCTTGGGACGTCTCAGAGTAGTAGTATAAAGAATCTAGCTGTGTCGTCGAATCTCTCTATAATATATTTAGGTAGTATGGGCAAGATCTTTTCTGGTGTCCGCCATGAAAGAAGTACTCATTCTAGGACAGATCACCAAAGTTTCCTTCATTTTCAGCAGGTAACCCACTCAGTGGTAACACTGCTTTTCAGTGGGGCCCTGTGTCATACATAAATAAACACATAACATAACGTTACATAAAATCTCATACAAACAATGGAATTATGGTACAATAGATAATGATACTGACAACGGAAAAAATGATCAGATAACAAATAGATAATAATACTAATAACAGAAATGTTCAATTTCATAGCCCAATTAGCTTCAATTGTCGTTATCGAGGGGTCAAAGGTCAGGACAAGTTTTACATTGGGTTTTTAAAGGGAGACTCTTCTTAAAGGGTGCTGCATTGAAACATGGAAAAACAGGCATAAAAATGGGCATCATATCTCACCTTTACGAAGTTTAGGTGACACAAACTCACATTCATTTGTTAGCACATTTATTAAAATGGACCTGCAAAAAGTTTCGGGGAAAATTGGACAGCAAAACTCGAACTACAGCTGTGTTCCCAAACACAGGCGCACTTTGTCCCCATATCCCAGGTTGATTTCAATGTGGTAAGCAGGAGGGGTGTGTGCCAACAGAAAAGCCAATAACTATACAACTTAATGGAAAACCTCCATTTTTTTGCAAAAACATTCACTCAAAACCCTACAATGTACAATCCACCACAAAAATGCCAAGGATTCAACAAAATTTCCACCAAAAGAACGGTTTTAAAGTTATTTTTTATTTTGAGGTCTCTGACCTAGCAACTTGTGCGCATGCCCTTCAACCCGCGTCACCCCTTAAAGGAAGAAATGGAAGTATAAGTCTTTATAAAGTGTGGAAGACGGTTCCAGAGTTTAGGACTTTTATGATGATGATGATGTTGGAGGACATTTCGCCTTGCAACATGTAGTGCCCTTCTTGTCATTGATTTATTCGAGACTTCGAAAATTCTACGTAATGTCGCTCTTAAAGATAACAATTTGTCACTCAAGAGAGATAGATTTTGAGAGCATTTATGTTCTGAAATACTTACAAATGTACATTCCGTTATGATACATGTTAAGTAATACGTATATTTGTAATGTAATTGTTTCTTATTTCTGTGCATTTTGTAACAGGGGAAAGGGCAGAAAGGGTCAAGTAACAACAAAAATATCCAGCTCAACAATAGAGATAATGATCCGGTCAACCATTAATATTAAACCTGTCAAAGTTGACACTTCATGACCGTTGTTAATTATACTACACCCAAATTCCGAGGTAGGTTAAAATATGTGCATTTTGTCTTAACAGAGTTTTGGATGAAGTCAAAATTCCAACAAGCTTTTTACAATTTGTTTTTGTTATAATATCAAAGTTCAGCTTTTGGAGTAGCAGTGTCATTCATACAAAACAAGCATAGTGCAATGAACTGGATGATTCAGATTTTTTGTCTCGTGACCTTTCGCAGCTTAATTTTCTGCGGAGCCTGATATTTTGTGTTTGTGATAGAAAAAAGCCTCCGGTGTTAGTGTAGAAATTGCATTACGAAAAAAAGTGGTGTAAAACGGATTGTTGAAAGTTTTTTTGTGTGATTAATTGTAGTTTATTCTTCTGTGGACATACTGAAGGCTCTTTGTGAAATGACAGACCTATAATTAAATTATCACGAGGTTTTGAACATCTGTTCGTAAATTACATCGAGTGTCTTTTTCGGTCCAGGAGTAAAAGCCCATGTGATACTTTCCTGACTTTTTTGTGACGTTTAATGTCCATTGTTGTCTTGCAGGTCTTTTATTTACATGTCATATCTAGTCATGTTTTGTAAGTCCATCATAAATATGTGCGACTTTTATAGGTCATGTTGTAAGTAAAAGGTTACCGAAATTGTCCCAAATGCCTATCTTTTGCACAAATTCCCGACATGTTCACATTTTTCACTTTAATGTAGAAAAAATGTTTAGAATTATCTTTGATGGTATTTCATGCAATATGTGATGCCTTGCGAGTACTTTGCAACAAGTCCTACTTTAAGT